ATTTCTGTAGTCTTCATTGTAAAAATTAAATACAGATTAATGCTTACCATTAAAGTTATTCATTCAAAAACGTATTCAGTCAAGAGCAGAAAGTTATTCAGTCAAGAGCAGAAAGTGATTTTCTTTGTCTTTTGTTCTTTGATTTACACAACACAACGACATTAAGCTCGCAACACAACGACATTAAGCCACAACACAACGGAAATGCTCCCGACCACTAGGGGGCAGTGTTGACAGTTAAACCGCTATTTCCTCGAGACGCCACAAGAAATTCTCAATGTAAGCGATTGATCTTAATATGTGTAATCGATTTGTAAATGAACAATGTGTTTTTACTGAATGTTTTGATATCCTGGTAATTTTAATGTATTGATTCATGAATCGAGCAGAAAATAAATCAATATTATTTTCGATTTGGACAGTTTAGCCCTGCTCTTGCACACAATGGACTCTATGCAGTGTCACTTCTGCATTTTTCCTCAGGGGGTTTACTTAAATCCGGTGCTGTGCCGAAAGCCATTGTTCCTTACGTAGACCTTTCAAAATGACAAGAGGAGAAGATTTTTCAGTTTACAAGAACTTCCCCGGATTACTGTAAATGAATTTAATCGCACGGAGAAGGGCATTAAACGTTTCAAGTTACATTGACAACTTTAGGGTGAGTATTGTTCTATCGTCTTCTAGCAAATCTTGCTAATAAGGCTGGATAACGCTGCATGACTTCTGCGCCGATTTGATCAGCACTTAAATAGCAGGGCTAAGTTAGAGTTTAGCTTTAAACTCCGTCCACCTCAGGTTTTTATAACTCCTAAGAGATAGTAGCAATAACATCAGAGCTCCCGGTAATCCACGTTTGTTTGCATCTGTGGCTGTGACAGGAACGTCTTAACTTGATATTAAGTATTTTAAATACTGTTCCCATTTTTAGATTGCCATGTATCGTAATAAACCTTAAGTCTGACCGTTTCTGGCAGTTTATCGTTATATTTTCCTGAAGCTTGTTTACATTTAATATAGCAGTTTTCCAGGGATCCCTAACACAAACATGATGAAGCTGTTCAGTAAAAAAGCAATTAATAGAAGCAAACAAGATCAGGAATGGTTAAGAGTAGGGACATCCTTTGAAATATTACTTAACTCTTTACAGTGTATTGGCATGTTTGTAACATTATATAGACTTAATTCTTCATAATTTATTTTAAATATAGTTTAATTTACAATGTAACAATTTAAAATGCAACTGAAAGTAATTCAAAATGTATCTGAAATCAATTCAATATGTAACCCAATGCAATTATCTTCACAGATTGTTTTAAAGGACTCCCATCCATACTGTTGCAGCACTGTACCAGACAGCACACTATTCAGAACTGAGAATCAGTGCAGTTCCTCCTGTACAGAGCTGCACTGAATGGAGCAGAACTGGCACAAACCTAGAACAATGGTAAGTGGTAAGTAAGAGAATTATCAAATTCTTTAATGAATGACATAATTAATAAACTTTGATTAATGATATTAACATGCCCCAGTGGTATACCTAGAGAGTCAAGCCAGGTCCTGTCAGTGGGACGGTGGTCCTGTTTGCAAGAGAGGAAACTCGCTGAGTGGTTATGGTAGGAGTAGACTGTCTAATATTGTTACATCATCTTTTCATATCTTGCTATATTCATGTATAACATGCCTATATGATTAGCCCTAGCAGAAAAAAGACAAAAACACAATCATATTGGATATGGCTCCTATGCAACATGCAAAATGTAATGACAGTGGTGGAAGATTTTTTATTTTTTAATGGTCAATTTACACTATACCTTTGTTTTTCATCTCAGGAGAATGCTTTACAGTGGTGTCACCAGCGAATCTGCCTGACCTATCAGTCCTCCAAGTGGTAGAAGTGTTAAAAAAATACCATTACACTATCACAGTTATTTGTATTTGTATTTTACATAACTATTACACCATATCAAAGTTTCTAAAATGTACGTGTTTATATTTACATGTTTAGATTTACATTTACATTTTATATTCTAGTCTGTACAAAATAAAACCAAATTAATCCACCCCAAGTGTTTTGTGTAAGGCCAGATCTCTCTGTGGAAGACCGACTGAAAGTTGGACCATGAAGAGGAGACTGACACTGTCAAAATAAATTTAAAATAATTATGAATGAATGAAAGAATGAATGATGCATTTATATAGCGCTTTATGGTGCATGCATGTAACGTGTGCATCAAAAAATAAAGATAACATTTTCTTTCTCTGTCACAAACAATATAATATCAATATTTACCATCGCATTACTTGTTACTCCAACTTCACTCCTCATTATAGCTGTCCTTGCTCTGCTCACACGAACCATGTGGGAAGCAGGTTCAGTAACTCTCCAAAAGGCCATTAAATGGTTCTACATCTCAAATCTAGATTGGATGTAAGACATGATTTCAGAAAATACACACCACACAATGTAATAACAATGCAAATTAGTTTGTCTACACTTAACCTGAAGGTTACTTTAAATATATATAATGTATAATGTATTGACATGCAAGTACTCTTATGAAAAAGTGATTTTAGCTTATGCTACGTCGAGTCATTCTAAACCATTATGAATGTCTTCTGTGGGGAAAAATATCTGAACAGCTGACTGACACTAACATTATTTACATTTCTGTATGCCAATGAAGAAAGCAAGCCATATGGGTTTACAACGACATAAAGGTGAGTATATGATGAGAGCTTTTTAGGGGAATTAGGCTGGTAATGCACTCATGCTATGGCTAAATACAGACCGGAAGATTTTATGTGCCCTGAGATTTCATCGGAAATACGTAGGCTGTGTGCCGTGCATAGAGTCTATTTACTTTTGTGTTGTACAGAAAGAAATAACAGTACATGGGTTTATGAGGGTGAGAAAATAATGACTGAATGCTCAATTGGGGAACTATTCCCTTAATGCCTAATTAAAAGCGATCGATAACCAGAGCGCTTTCTGTTTTAAATGTTCACACTGTTAATGGTCTTCTCCGCTCTTGTAGATTGTGTTCTGTAATAACAGGCTTTTGAGTGCACAGTCAAGAACTAAGATCGACCTTGATCTAAAAAGCCGTTCCTATTTTACCCAGTTTAGACTGAAATAACACAAGAGGAAATAAGACTGATACATTAAATTGTGATAACCTTCTGCCTTCAAACTTTTCTCGGCAAGAAATGAACTAGGTTTGATTTTTCAGCCCTATTCAAATTGCATCGGTTCATGGCGAGGAGTAATTATCTAGACCCTTGAAATGGAACAAATCCAACTGTTTTGTTGACTTGACTTGTCAATCATGTGAATTGAACCCCAGAAATAGATGAACCATTCGAAAACCCACAGGATTCCCCTCCCTTTATCTGCCAACAGCAAATTGACCCTTTATTTGTTAAATCATACATGAGTAAATCCATTATTTTCTGTTTTCGCCTCTCATTATTTTTAAACGCATCACAAAATTGTGATTTCCTCTTAAGCGGAGTGGTGGCTTTAAATTATGAATTTTAAAATACTGTTGGGCTTTTGTGTGTTTGGAGTGAAAATTCTGCAGATGCTTTTGGAAATGGCAGTTCAGAATTGTCTTAAAGCTGGTCGGTCCCTTGGCTATGCTTGGAGGGAATTTTATTAGCTGCTCACTCGTGTCTTATATTGAGCTCAAGACAGTGGGAAATATGTTTCATCTTCTGTCTCCACCCACTCGCTTCACAAGAATCCAAACATTGGAAATAAAACCACCTCCAGAACCCCGGCTCATGACAAAGGCTTATCTTGCCATCACACCTGAATTTGCCATCCATTTAATGGGAATTAGGATTCATTCCGTAAATAGGATTTTTTTCCCCTTTTGGTTTTAGTGCTTGCAAATCATACCATTTGAAAACCCATTTTGTAGTAAAAACCTTTTTGTGCCATTCACAGACATGTTCGTATTTTTTTATGATCTTTGACCTGTGATGTACTAGCAGCTATTTCCTCTGATGAAAACATATTGAACAAACAAAGATGGCTATACTTATTTCAGGAACAATTGAACTCGTTTAAAGCCAAATTTAATCACATCTCTTAAATCACTTAATGTCTTTTTCTCTGTGTAAAGTATCGATTTACATTTTACATTTCCAGTTAGCCATTCTGCGTGATGTTAGAAATGAACTTGAAGCCACTCTCCAGACTTTGTCTGTGATGGATCAATCTTTAATTAAGTAAAAACCCCTCACAGACGCCTACTGAGAGGGGGGTGTTCACACTTGTAAAGTGAGTGAGTGACACTAATAGCATTCATGTTTTTGTCCAGATTCATCTGATGAACTTTAATCTGAAAAATTAGAGCCTAATTCAGCTGTAGTTTGCTGTTATTTAAAAGGGCATCTGACCTGGTTCACCAATTAACACTTAGAGACCCACTGCAAAATTGCAGCAGTTTAGAATATTCTTTACAAAACGTGGTTTAAAAGCAGTTCACATATGTAATACCAATTCTGGTAGGAACATAGCTTATTTATTGCCAATATTTATTTAGTGTATTTCTTGTGGAAACTGATATTTTTTAGAAACACCATTTACTTCAATTAGAAATCTTTTGTTACATAATAAATGTCTTTACTGTCACTTTTAATCAGTTATACGTATATATATATATATATATATATATATATATATAAACTTACTGATCCCAAACTTCTAAATGGTAATGTTTGTGTATGCCTGTGTGTATGGTTTATAATAGAAAATTATCTATCCCCATGTTTCACAGACAAAGCCTAAGCCTTAAGACTAAAATGCATATCTGGGCTGTTTTAACTGAAAGAAACTTGCACTGACATATCTTAAAATATGTCAGTGCCATTGTTTTGTCTCAAGATGTACACGATTAATGTTATTTTCTAAGGCACGTTTATGAAAGATACTTAAATGTCCTAACTGAACTGTGGCCTAATCCTGGCTTAACCTAAGCCCTGTCTGTGAAACCAGGCCTTTATCTCCCAAAAATCTGTAAATATGAAACATTTTCTAATTCAAACAAATGTAAACTTAATTTATAAGCAAAGTAATTTTTTTTGTTTGTTTTTTTGTAAAAAAATAAAATAAAATAAAATAACCTTGAGTGTTATGGGGTGCTCTGAGGTGAACATGATGTTTCAGTCTTCTACTCTCTTTATAAAGGTCAGAACAACTGTGCTGTAAGCTTCTAACATGCTATTTTGGGTATTATATCAGGGGTCAGTGTGGTGTAGGAACATCCCAGGTATATGAAACTTTATAGTGTAAGACTTGTGCCGTGACATGAGCATACTAATATTCCAGCTTTATAGCTCACTCTGAAGTCAGGTATAAAGTTCAAAGCAACTGCTGAGAGCATTACAGTATGTATTTAAAATGGATTCTCAGGTATTTTACAGGGGGTCAGTGTTGTATAGGAATATCTCATGATTACGAATCTTTAGAAAGTGTAAGAGAGCAGTTTTGACATGAACATATCCAAAATTCAGCTTATTTGGAAGGCTTCACAAAAAATTTAAAAATATTTGTGTTTGTATACAGGTCTCAACAAACGTTAATTTATGCAAAAAAAGAAAAGAAAAAAACAACAACAACAAAAACAACGTGGACCACTCTTGGGTTCAATATGTTTGCCCCAAAGTATGGATTTCATATACAAGTCTCTTGAGTCAAGTGGAAAGGAGACTGGAGATGCATTTTGTTCTACAATTTTTGAGCTTGTTGTTGCTAGGGATTTGAAAAGACACAAACACACACACAGAACGGTTTCAGAGTCTTTTGACCTTTTATAGGGATGTAAAGCATCATTTGCTCTACTCTATCTTTCCAACCTAATTGAAAAGTCTCTCAATTCGGATAAGTGTGTAATTCGCAAATCCTTTTCATTAACACGGCCCTGAACCCATGAATCTCATCCTTCTCAGTAAAGCTTCCTAAAGCCATCAAAGACTATCAAGCCGCTCCTGAGGTGATTTTGTTTTATCCTGCTCCAGTGCTGCCAACAACCTTCCAAAGAATCTGTCCAGCATTCAGCGGGAAGCTTTCTGCTCTCTATTGCCCCCTCAGATGCTTCATTAGTCCACTCACATTGCTATTACAAACAAACACAACAAGCCAATATATGATTGACAGCATATCAAAATTGCATTGCTTCATTCAATGTTCTGTGGCAACGAGGTCAAAATGAGAGTACATTTAAATGTATAACCATTGCTGATGGGAACGCTGAAGTCTGATCAGTTTTTAGATGTATTTCTATGGTGTTTGGTCAGTCTAAAACATCACTTGTGTCCAGTATGCGGGGTCATTGATGGGAAGCAACTGAGACGCCACCTAATCCACACACTAATGACGTATTTATTCACAGGACTACAATGTGACGGGCGCTCATCACACCATCTCTAGAGACCCGTAGCCTAGGTAACAGGAGGTGTTTTTTCCCCTCCCCCCCATCCGGATTTTCTCATATATTTTCCTCATTTATTTAGTTCTGGACGTTTTGGATTTGAGTCCCCATTGTTCAAGTGACAGTTCGCCGTCAACCCCTCTCACATTTCTTCATTCAAAATAAG